TTATTATTCTCCTGTTTTTATTTTTTGCATGTTGTTGTTGCCGTTGCTGTCCTCGTTGTTGCTCTTGCTCTTGTTGTTGCGTTTCTTATTTTTGGTTGTGTATGTGTGTGTATGTGTGTGTGTGTGTGTGTGTGTGTGTGTGTGTATGTGTGTGTGTATGTGTGTGTATGTGTGTGTATATGTGTGTCTGTGTGTGTGGTATTTACGAGTGTATCGTGGGTTAAACGATAGTTTATTGTAAAAATAATGCCATTGTTGGTCAATTATATTATTATAAAAATAAATGAAGAAGTCTTGGTTGAAGCAAATTGCAGACGACAGCTTATGACGAATGCGGGAAAAAGCTTTGGAGAATATTGTAACAACGGACAGTGTGATGGAAAGAGAGGCAGAGGCAGACAGAAGGAAAAGATACTGGACAAGATGACAATATGGCGAGGAGCAGCAAGAACAACAGACACCATTGCTGCAACGCAAGACAGAGTGAAGTGGAGGTCCATGATCGCCCACGCCAGTCGGCAAGGCACCGGATGGTGAATAACATTATCTCCCTTGAATAAAGAAAGACATTTGTCAATACTTTTCATGTCATGTCGACAGAAAATAAATAAAGATCTCGTATACCAAATTTCTCTTAGCTATGTTGAATAGTAAATAAATTATTGTACTTTTAAGGTGGGTGTGACAGAATTTTTGCAACTCGGTATATTATTACGTCATAGTCTTCGACTTTTTTTTTCATTTGAAGGTGACAAACAGTCCATATTTTTATTTTTCTACTGCTGGTATTTTTTACGTCCCCATGGACACAATTTAGAGAATGATAGTGGGGCATCTGTAGAGGGGCAGATACAAAAAGGTTGATATTATTCAGCTTTAGGGATGATACTCTGCCCCATCCCAGAAAATCTGCAAGAAAGAACAACCAGGAAAAGAACGAAACAAAAACAGACCAAAAAAAAAAATCCTCCAAACATACAAACAAACAAAACTCAGTATCACAATGAATGTGAATACAGAGAGTCTCAATTTTAATTATATTAGAATTAATAGATTTCGAATATTAAAACAAATCTGGTAAATTCTGCAAAACAATATAATTCATGAGAAATGTGGGTGGTAATTATGTTAACTTTGATTGTATTGTTTCATTCTTAGAGGGTAATTGTGGTTCTTTTATTTTCATATATATCTTTATCAATTTTTTAATAAGTGTCGAAGTGTTCTTTTTGTCCTGTTGTTCTTTTCTATTATTATCACTAT